TGGTAATCAATGGACTGAGTTAAAAACACAATTTCGTCGTGTTTGTCAATTGCGAACTTGTTTACCAATCAATATTGAATTACCATTAAGAATTTCAAAAGTCATTGTTACACAACAAATTCGTAAGGAAATTTTATTAAACAAAAACAATCTATCAATAAAAGATTTCGAATTATTTCTTATAGATATAACTTCAATAAATGATATTGTTCAACCTTTTGTTCGTAGTTTAATTGTTGAACATCGTTTAACTGATGACAAAGACATCTTAAATCTTGCTCGACAGTTTCCAAATGTTGAATATTTATCAATGTTTTTTCCAATAGATAGATCTTTATATCTTCGTTGTTTTCAAACATTATTTAGTGCTGATGAGAATATTATTACAAATCGTCGTCTTTGGACTAAATTAAAATATGTTTCAATGGAATTTTTTCATCATCGAATTGATGAAATACTCGACGATAATAATATTATCCGTTGGTTTCTTCGAAATACTGACCTTAAATATACAAAATCGGGATTTACTTACAATCATTTTAATAGAACATTTTCTATTTGGCTTTAATATTTAAATATTATTGCAAAAAGGAAATTTTTTTTTGAAATTAGACTAGTAAATAACAGAAAAGTATGGGAGAGTTCAAGCTGTATTTGTCACTTGTTGCTTGAGGGTGAGGATGAGCAGGTAGATGTGAGTGGAGCTGTAAGTAAAATATCTAGTACCCGTCCTCACATGCTCAAATGATCCTACCATTAGCAAGTCAAGAGAATGATCGAATTTACCATTCATCGCATTTCGATCAATCAGAAACAACGAACAAAGGGTGTGGGTGTGTGGGTGTAGGTGTGGGTGTAGATAAATGGAAGAATCATACTCACACCCACACCCTCTTTTATAGATTGGAAAAACTTAAAAATGAGAATGAATTTTTCTAAAATAATTGATATAATGAAAAAAAAACAGATTTTTTAGAAAATCTAAATGTACATGAATAACGAATACTGTTAAAATTATTTGATGCATCAAATGTTTTATTTGTAAAAAGAACGTAATTGCCAAAATAATCATTTTCAGTAGGAGATACTGTTCCTTATTCTCCTAAAATAAAGACCGTCGTGTTCAAGTTGATGAATATTTAAAAGGTTTTATTTGTGAATCGATAGTTGACATAATATTTTTTCACAAATCGAAACCTATTGTTGATAATTTTAATTAACTCAATTATAATTCTAAGTTTATCGAATAGATTTTTTATAAATTTCTATTTAATGACTATTCTTTTAAAAGTATTTTGTTTTTCAAACATAGATCTTATTTTCGTATAATAAATATGTGCAGACGAGATATAACATGTGAGATGTAGATTGAATAAACATGAGCGAAGTGAATGGCATTTTCATCCCATTTAATCAATGTTTTATTAATAAAAGACTCGAATTTATTATGGGATGTAACACACTAGTCTCCATATGATCGGAGCGAAGAGTTGGATCAACAGTAAAATCCAATCGACGAATGTCATATCATTAAACCATGCGATTGCTGCTTGATAGACTGTCATCAATATGGAGGAAAATGAATATAATAAAGCAACAAAGTCAGCATTATTCGAAAAATAGATGTATACATCTCGCTTCTACAAACAAGCCTTGTTTGACGAAATAACATACATTTGTCCATCGGTCATGACCTGCCAATGTCTATGTAGTTGAATTAAACTCGCATATAACAGTTATGAGTGATGAGAAAAGCACAGAAGAATACATGTTTTTTCCCCTTTATAATAAGAAGTGTATCAGACATACATTCCTTTGGATTGTGTATTTAACTTCACTGAAAAGCATGATTCAATTAAAGTATCGTTTATTGTTATTAGTCGATCTACGTGAAACTGGCATTAAGAAGATGAATTTATCGAATAATAGCTATGACCATGAAAGAAAGAAAGCATTTTCTTGACAAAACACGGCACATACAGTCGTCGGATATTTCAATGAAGCAAACAAGACGGTTATTGTTTTCAATCATATATACTTTTGTGAAATAGAAAACTTATAGTCACATAATCAGAA